TGATCCATTTGTTCTGTAGACAACATTGACATTGGCTTTACAGAAGTGTGGTGGGGCTACATTTTGCACCTGGCAATGCAAGGAAGTTGCCTGAGTGCAAGGCTGGGGGGAATTGATATGAGTATCGCCCATAGCTGGCTTATTTTTAGGCTTTCCTTCTGATCCTGCCACTTGAGCTCTTCATCCCCTACATTTCACAGCAATGGGACACGCTCAAAGATGTAATTCATTTTAGGAAACCTATGAAAATCAGAACTTGGGGCAGGTCAGAAGAAGATAAGTGAGTTTATAAGTCAGTTGTAAATTAAACAGTGTTTACATTAGTTTAATCAGATGATTCTGAGTGCCAACTTTAGTTAAACTTATACAACTTTTGCATGCCAACAAGGCAGCTGTCTCAATAACTGTTACCTGAAATAGCTCAAGTTATGAAAGACCTTGTAAGACTCTTGCTGTCCACATAATCATCTGCTTTTTGCTTGCCTTATTGAAAAATTAGACACACCCCGTAAGAATATTAGTGAAACTATGTTTTGCTATCCTCTCTGAGATGATCAGAAACACTCTCTCAGGCAATAATGGTGGGTAGAATGTGTTTCATTTAACCAATCACAAGCAACCAACTCAGCTTGAAATTTCAAAATTAATGTCAACATTATCATACATTTCAGACCCTAGTACCAAAATAATCTGAAACAATATTTCATTTAACAAAAAAGAAACACTTTCTAAAATGTAAAGTATATTCCGTACATGTAGTATAAACCAGAAAATAGACAAGTTACAACAGAGAGTATTGTATCCATTATGGATATTTCACCCAGATCTACAATGGAGTCAGTAAAACATTTGGAAAGTGCCACCTGAATTCTAATTTGGTTCATGCATCATTAACAGAATATTTTAAAAAGTTCCAGTATCAGATTGTCTTTATTTTATAACTGATGATGCACAATCCAGATAAGGAACGGCTACCAGATTGAGTTTAAAGGGTTTGCTGTCAGGTAATAACATTTTTACCTTTCAAAATGAGCCAATTTACTTTAGAAGTCTCTTGAGAAACATAAAAGAATGAACCTCACAATGCAATTTTTACAATCACTTTTTTGTTCCTGCTTGTAGAGCAGTCAATGACAAACCCTCTTCCCTGTTTTCCAATGGAACATGTCTGTAAGTAGGCAGATGTCATTTTACAGCAAAATATTTATTGTTTTTTTCCAGCCTCTCTCCCAAATAACCCTTCTAGTTCAATTTAATTAAAAGATGAGCAAGCCCCCATTTTCCCACCAAAACATCTTCATTCACTTTTAAGAAGTTGATAAATGTAAAGTACTGCACATTGGAAAACATAATCCCAACTATACATAAATATGATGAGGACAAATTTAGCTATAACCTTTCAAAAAGAGATCTTAGAGTCATTGTGGATAGTTCTCTGAAAACATCCACTCAATGTGCAGCATCATTAAAAACAAACAAACAAACAAACAAACAAACAAACAAACAAACAAACAAACAAACAAACAAACAAACAAACAAACAAACAAACAAACAAACAAACAAACAAACAAACAAACAAACAAACAAACAAACAAACAAACAAACAAACAAACAAACAAACAAACAAACAAACAGAATGTTAGGAATCATTAAAAGGGGATAGAGAATAAGACACAGAATATCCTAGGGTATGTCTACACTACCCCGCTAGTTCGAACTAGCGGGGTAGTGTAGACATACCCCCAGAGACAGCATGGACTAAGTCAAGAGACACACGCTGCTTCTTGTGCACAGAAGAGTTAATCTCTGTCTGGACGACAGTGTGAAGAGGAGAAGCTATAAAGTCAGGCCCACAGCTTCCCGCATTTATAGCTTCTCCTCTTCACACTGTCGTCCAGACAGAGATTAACTCTTCTGTGCACAAGAAGCAGCGTGTGTCTCTTGACTTAGTCCATGCTGTCTCTGGGGGTATGTCTACACTACCCCGCTAGTTCGAACTAGCGGGGTAGTGTAGACATACCCCTATTGACTGTATATAAACTAGGGTTGGCCAACCCATTTAACAAAGCGAGCTGAAACAACGGCAGAAAAAATGCAAAGAGCCACACCAGAATTGTCAAGGAAAAAAAAGGAGGCTGCTCCTTTAAGAAACAAGTTTAGGATTTTTGGCCATATCAGGCTCCCGTCGATGGCCGCCATCTTGGGCACCATTTTGAATCGCCACCCTGGTGAGCACAGGTAGAGCCGCGGGCCAGGGGTAGGGCCATTTGGGGGGGCGCAGGAGCAGCTTCGCAAGGCACACTTTTAGGGGAGAAGAGCCGCATGCAGTTCGCGAGCCGTGGGTTGGCCACCCCTGATTTAAACCATGGAATGCCCACATCTTGAATACTGCGTACAGATGTGGTTGCCTCATCTCAAAAGAGATGACTAGTGTGGAAAAAAATGCATAAGGAAAAGTTAAGGTTTAAAACAAAAAAAGCAAGTTTTTTTTCACACAGTGCATGGTTGACCTGTAGAACTCTTTGCCAGAGGAGGTTGTAAAGACCAGGACTTGAACTGGGTTCAAGAAAGAACTATATAAATTCATGGAGGTTAGGTCTATCAATGGCTATTAGCCAGGATGAGTAGGAATGGTGTCCCCAGCTTCCACAGGAGGCTAGGAATGGGTGACAGGAGAGGGAATGCTTCATGATTCCATGTTCTGTTCACTCTCTTTGGGGAATCTGGCATTGGCCACTCTCAGAAGACAGAATACTAGGCTAGAGGGATCTTTGGTCCAGTATGATTCATATTAATGTCAATATCCAGGATAATTTACCCAGCAGTTTTCATAAGTACTAAGTTTAATTATCTTTTTTTCTTTTAAGAAAAAATGGTAAAATATAGTTTTCTATAAGTTTTACAGAACAAAATGACAAACATTTTTATTACTCTGTTTCTTGGACTGAAATGCCAATATAATTTTAGTAAATAAAAAGAAAGTTGCATGTTCTGTTATTTCCTATTTGTGAAAGTAATCTAAATCTTTCCAAGTTATTTGAAAGTTCATGAGAAGACTGAGAAAATATGATGCATTTGGTGACCCCACAAAAATGCTGAATTTGTTTGACCGCTTTGTTACTTTCTGGACTCTCCACCTGGCTTGGTAATTAAATCTCAATTTGTAAAGAATACACATTGTTAAAAAAAGCAATTATCCATTTTTATTTTGTTTACATTGCACTGAAAATTTACATCATACTTTTACAAATCCTTTTTTTCATAAAAATATACTTCTTTACAAAAGTGTATGCATTAATATAAGAGGAGTAGCCAGTTGCAGAAGAAACGTTTTTAAATGAGATCTCAAATGTACTAACCTTAACATTAATGAATGAATCATAGTTATTGCAGTCATTTGAATAAACAAGAATAAATAACTACTGATGATAGAAAATATAAAACAGCATCCTTGCAGTAGATTACAGTTTTTTTGACAGAATTGTATGAATTTTCAAAAGAAAGTGTTGTAAAATGGTTTATAAGAAATTCATCAAACATTATAGAAATCCAAGCAGCAATCCTGGGTACAATGATTTTTGGTAGGCACTCTCTATTACGGTAATAAAAAGTTCAGATTTTTCACATAATTATTAATGCCTGAAAGGGATAGTAACAGATAATTCACATTGACTAACATACAGCATTTATGAGTCTAAAATTATTTCTTGTTATAAAAGGAAGACAATGACCTACAACAAATTACTCGGGTTGCCACTGGATAATTCTGTTATGCAATTACCATAAAACTAAAGATTACATTTCTCTGAGAACAAAAAGGTGCTGCAATTTTTGACACCTGCCTGTTAAAGTGGTATTTGATGCATCTGATGGATTACTCCTAATCAAACCATGGCTCTTAAAAAAAAATCTTTCTATTGAATTGCTGCAATGTGTTCAGATTTGAATAAATATTTTTAGGATTTGCTTGCCTCATAACACTCATTTATGTACCAAAAGAATGCATTTTCAGATTCTGATTAGGCAAAGCTTGTGGGAGAGATCCAAAGCCCGTTTGAACTAGTGGGAGTACACCTATTAACCTCAATGGGGTTTGAATCAAGCCTAGCATGAGTATTTTAACACAATGTAAAATAATACTAATAATGTGACACAGTGTAGACAGAGGTGGTATGGACTGAAGTGTGGAGATGTAGGTTCTTCATACAACAACTTGATTTCTACTGTTACTGTAAAGCATAATTTTCTGAACTGAAAACTTTAAAAAGGTTAAATTTCTGTTGTCTGTAAAAACAGTCTAAAAAGGTAACTCTTCCAAGTGATCTTCAACAGTAGGGAACATTGCTGCATGATAAAATTCAGTTCACCCTAGTATCATTCATTGCAAAATTGGTCTTGTGGCAAAGATTCACTGCAAAGAAATAACATAGAAGCAGAACTATCGCTGTTACTATCTGCTTGTGTTGCTAATAGGAACTGAGAACTGAAAATTTGACAATCTTCCTTCTGCGATGTACCAATAAAAAGTTGGATATGAAGGTTTAAGCCTATTAATCATCATGTTGTTATATTAGAAAATTCACAGGTATGAGAAAAATAAAGATTTGCTAAACAGGGATGTATAACAGAAGGAGGGTACAGAGTTCAAATTTATGAGAATGATGTAGCTCATGACTGTTAAAGAGAAGTCAGTGACCTATTGTCTCCTGTAAGTATAACTCTTATTTTCTACCCTATATCTTTTTTTTTAACCCAGTCCCTCTATTATAGTTTATAAAGCACAGAAGTACTGATAGTGGATGCTCCTCCAATATATGCAAATACATTTTATGTTTTAGAATAATCTCCTTTTTAAAAAAAGCAAATAAACTGTGAGTAAGCACTCATGGAGTGCAGCATATTTTCTGTAAAACTCTCCATGGTAAACATGAAGGACAATTCTGTTCCAGTTTATGAAAAACACTCTGTCTATCATCCTCAGGAAAAGGTGACCCAGTAAGTCCTGAAAAGTGTGCTTTAATTTTTTATCAGTGAACTATATGTGCACTGTGTTGTGTTTCAATTTCCAGACTCCTGAAGACAAAGCATTGCCACATTATACCATTGTGCAGACAGTGTTCAAGTTCGGGTCAAATCGTACAGCTTTTCCTTCTACAGACTTCGCATTTGTGTCATACATGGGGTTTTCAAAAGCAGCTTGTCCATTGTTATTTTCATGAACAGAGCATCCTGTATACTGTGTTTTCGGTGCAGTCCTATTAAGGAAGAAAAAATACAGTGTATTCTCAATTGCAATTTTCTGTGGTGATTGGTACAGTATAAGAACCTCTACAGAATTCCAATAACAAACAGAGGCTAAATATGAAATGTTGGAAGATTTCTTTTGCTGTCAAGGACCGCCATATTTGTTAAAATAACCTTAAAGCATGCTTAAGAGTAATGTTAATTTTAAAATAATGAACATATAACAAGGCCAGGAGTCATGCTGGAAAAAAATACTCTAAACCTTTGGACCACAATCCCACAAAATCTGGGTATTTCTAATAAAATGTGTGGCTGCTACAGTTGACCCTATTGTCTTAGAAATAACACAATTTGCAAATCAATGAGCAGATTCTCTTAGGGTTATTGTTTCTCTCTGTCTGTTTGCAAACTCAGTAAAAATATACAACTCTTTCAATCTGGAAGGATTTATTTAGGACTATATGGCTTAGAAATGTAAATGAAAGCTTAAATTATTCAAAAAACATATGGCTCATCTATACCAGAAGTTTAAAGGAATCAGGAAACTAACATTAACCTTTGAAGTGTGTCAGTAAGCGGGTCAAACGTAACAATCCAAGATCTTAGAGTTCAACTTTTCAAGGTATGTTTAGGTTCTATGCATATTACAATTTTTATTAATCTCCTGTAGGATTGTTTTATAATAGCAGGCCACGAGACAAGTGCTGGTATATTATTCCACCATTTAGTGGACAATTTACAGTTGTCCTCATGACCATAGTGCAAGATTCTTTTAACAAGCTTTACAAATGAAACAGAGGAATGATTCTATCCTCAGAGATATAAACCACACTATCACTGAACCTAGGATAAGAATGACTCTCTGAGCACATATGTTATTATTGTAAGACCAGGTCTACACTGGCAGAAAAAATCAATGTAAGATACGCCAATTCCAGCTATGACAATTGCATAGCTGGAATTGACGTACCTTACAGCACTTTTCTGGGGCAGCCTCACAGTGATAGGTCAACTGGATAAATGCTTCTGTCGACTTTCCTTCCTTCTCACGACTGCTCACCCACACAGGAATATTATGTATACTTGCAAGCTAATAAATTGTGTGAACCTTAAATAAATTATACAAGAAATATAATTCACAATACTGTGCATAACAAAAATAAAATTTAGGCAGTGTGCAATAAGCACACACCAACTGTTTATCAAATTATTCCTCAGATGTGCAAAATTTAGACTACCCTTGCTCCTCTCATCAAGAGAATAATTTATAACATTTTAAATAGGTGGGAGTGAAGGCACAGCACTTTACAATTAAATTACTCATCAAACATTAAGACAGACCTAAAATGAGGGTAGAATGTATTTTCTATGTATAACATTTGCAAAGGAAATCTCAGGGCAGTTCTTAATTTACCTTGTCAAATATATAAACCCTAAACCACTGTAACGCTTCAAATATATGACAATACAAAGACTCCATATGTAATTTATACTTACCTTTGTTTATAAAGGTAAAACCCAAAACCTGCAAATATAAGGGCAAAGAAAGGCACAAGGATAGCAATGGCCACAGAACTACTATTTGTACCATGTGGTTGATTAGAAGAATTTGAACCTTCAGATGTGTTAAGACCTAAAAAGACAAAAATATAACATCTCTCCATTATCTCATAATTATCAGTCCCAAATCCTCACAATATTTTTGAAAGTGTCTACTTGTCGAAAAATGAAAATCATCACATTTTGTTTTGTGTAGTGACTTAACACAATAGACTACTTCAATAGATACTTGAGGGTACTATTTTCTAACTGCATCTAATGAGCAAAACTCTTTTTTTTTCTTATGATGGAATGATCTCTCCACAATGATTCATGCCTTTTGCACCTTGAACTCAGACTGCTGTTATACACATTTTATGGAGGCCACTTACACACACACTGAGGCCACTTTGAGATGAAATTTAGTGCAAAGTGCTGCATCCTGCTTAATAAGTGAAGTTCCATGCCATGAACAAGTTATACCAGTGTCTGGGACCTGTACTTGCTTGTAAATTTACAGATGCAAGTCAAAGGGTTCATGTTAACCTATGAAACCATTAATAGCTTAGAACTAGGTTATTTCAGTATCATTATTCAAATACAATTTATTTGTTAGGTTGTGGGAAATCTGGTACTTGAACAGATAAAAAGAAACCACAGTAGAAGAAAAAAGGTAACAGCAGAGTTTCCCAAAGGAATAGCAGTAACTTGGAGGAAGGTTAAATCACCAAAAGAGGCAAAAGGAAAATTCATTATGTTGACTTCATTATACACCCTTGTTTATACATAAAATGAAACAGATAGGTGAGAGGCAAAGAGTAGAGAGAAAATACCAATAGAAAGTAAAAATATGCCTCTCCTGAAAGGATAGAAACAAAACAAATGTTAGATTCCCAATGGTGCCATTTTCATATTTCCTTTCCTATGGAGAAAGAAGAGATTACTAATTCAATTTAGTAATTGTTTTATAGGCTTCAAACTAGAGCTATTAAAAATCAGATTAATTAGGTAATGATTATTCAATGTTTCAAAGTTATTAAGCAACGTCGACAGAGCCATGTAAATTAGTTTATTCGGCATAATCAAAGAAGCAGGGATTTAAATAATCCCTGCTTCATTAAAATAAATATGGCCATCGCGCTGTGCCAATGATCAGCTGATTCGACACAGGCTAGATGCGGATCTGTCGGCTGGAGAAGCCTTTGCCAACCAATCCTATAAACCTCATTTCACAAGGCATAAGGGATCGGTCGGCAAAGGCTTTCCCAGACAACAGATCCGCGTCTAGACTGCCATGCTGGGTCGGGTCAGCTGATTGTCGGCATAGCATGGTTGCTATTTAATCCCTACTTCTTTGACTATGCCAAATAAATTAATTTACAAGGCTTCGTCGATGGAGTCATGTAGTCCAGACACACCCCAAGAGGCCAATCAAAGAGTATATTGTGGGAATACAAGCCTCTGTAAACCAGAGGAAGAGAGCCAACATAACATTTTAATAAGAACTCACCATAAATGGCTTGTCAAGCGTTGTTGATTTTACTCTTTGATTATCTCCAAATATTTAGAACATGATTATTTAGGGACATCAAATAATTTGTCCATCCCTCCAGGAATAGTATTTTCATAGAGACATGTTATAAATATTCCATAAAGTACCCACATTACCAAATTCAATGGGAGCCAAAATCAATCTCCAAGCATTGTTCTTTAGAATGATTTACGGCACTGAATAGAGAAAGTGAGACTGTGTAACATATAGCAGAATGATAAATCCTCTTACCACAACTGAGATGTTAAAGAATTTTCTTGCTTTTTTGTTTTTTGTTTTTAATCATAAGAGTGACAAATGTATTGTCTCCAAAATCCAGAAGAATGTGGTTTTATCTCCAAATAAAATTAGCAAAGATGAATTAGATTAGGCTATTTTTAATATTTGTATAGTCCTAGAATAAACTAACACATCTTGTAAATTTGTCAGATTGGTCTAAATGGAACCCCAGTGCTTGAGAAACCTTAAGAATATTCAAGATTATGTGTGAGGAGAAATATTATAGTCCTCAAGAGACTGGATCCAATAATTGGGAGCTCATCTAGACTACATTAAAGTGTGGAAAGAGGACACTTTGCATATCGGAATTTGCATATATTATTCCGATCTCACTTTTGAAAGCAGAGCTTTTGAAAGTGAAAGTAGTCAAGACACATTTTTTCAGCAGCCCCCCCTTTTTCGAAAAGCCACGTAAACCTCATTTTTTGCATGCCCTCTTTCAACACGTTAGTGTAGTCTAGATGAGCCCTTATTATTAAACATTTCTTGTTATCTATTTTTTTGTTTCATTTGCTTAAACATGCAAAAAGTAGGACAATATTTTTAGCAATACTCTGTACTGGAAAAAATCAATAGTAAATGTACAGTTGAATCTACAGGGCAAATAAATAAGTGCATCCAATTTCCTGTGCGGGGGAGGGGGAAGGAATCTCTCACTGACTTCAATAAAAGTTATGTATATATAAAAATGACACAAGGACTTCATTATTAGGCCAACAGCATTTAATAAGTGCACTAAAAAAGTTGTATTCCTATATAGCACTGACATCCATGTACACATATTGTGAAGTACTCACCCTTTATATGATGAGAAAACTTAAAAAAACAATGAATGTTCCTGTGGCACCTTTGAGACTAACCAAAAAATGTAGATGGTATCATGAATTTCATGGGCACAACCCACATCTGAAGAAATGGGCTGTACCCATGAAAGCTCATATTACCATCTACATGTTTTGTTAGTGTCAAAGGTGCTGCAGGATCATTTGTTATTTTTAAGTTTTTTCAATTACAGACTAACACGGCTACCCCTCAGAGTCTTTATATGATGATCGCAGTATAGAACATAATTCCTAATAGATAAGCATTCTTAGAGAAAGCTATCAAAAAACAGCCCAAATGAACTGGCTATAATAGAGTAACCATATCTCCAACTTTAACTTTCCGTTTAAACAAAACATCTTTTTTTTTTTTAAACCCACTGCTTTAGAAATTATTTTAGGATACAAACCTCACTCCTCTCCACATGCACTCTGATACTGAAATAAAGCTTCAGAATAGCCTTTCAATCATTTAATTAAAAAATGCATAATAAAACTCATTGTGAAACAAAATTGAATTGGTGTGACATCAAAACTAACTCAGTACCTAATCTTTGAAGTCCAAATTGTCCATAATCTTTACCCTGGATAAAT